CTACAACTACCACAGTGGCCACCACCACACCTCAACCAACTACCACGACAACGGCCGGCACTACCACTGAGGGTACAACCACAACAGACACAACTGATTCTCCCCCTTCTACTGAGACTACAACTACCACAGTGGCCACCACCACACCTCAACCAACTACCACGACAACGGCCGGCACTACCACTGAGGGTACAAGCACAACAGACACAACTGATTCTCCCCCTTCTACTGTGACTACGACTACCACAGCTGCCACCACCACACCTCAACCAACTACCACGACAACGGCCGGCACTACCACTGAGGGTACAACCACAACAGACACAACTGATTCTCCCCCTTCTACTGAGGCTACAACTACCACAGTGGCCACCACCACAACTCAACCAACTACCACGACAACGGCCGGCACTACCACTGAGGGTACAACCACAACAGACACAACTGATTCTACTGAGAGTATGACTACCACAGCTGCCACCACTTCAGCTGAACCAACTAGCACAACTACTATTACTACCATGGGTGATTCCAGTGTCAGTAACTGCCAGCATAAGGCTACAGTGACCAAAATAACCACTTCTAAAGCAAGACTACTTAATGACAATTCAGCTAACACTAAAATAAGCACTTCTAAAACAAGACTACTTAATGACAATTCAGCTAACACTAAAATGATAGTGAATTCATCCGCACAACAACATTTAGATGTAACAGTACCATATATTAGACCTGACCATTTAATGTGGATAGTCTCTACTTTGTGAGGTTTTTCATAATACAATTTTCATGCAAAGTAAATCCAATCCATTTATTTATGCTGGAAAGCTGTTACGATTAAATAGAAAGTTACCAAATGTGATTACAGTCTTTTATTATTATAAAGTTGTAGTCTTTAATACACTAATTCCATATGTAATAAGGAAAATACATTCTATATGGTAAGGGTGTTTTAAATAGATTTACATATTACCACATCTTCTTTTTAGATTGTGCCCACATTATTTTCATTTCATTTTCTCTTTAAATCATTTTGATATATAAGTAAAATTTTAAATGTGTTATCACTATTTTCAATTAATAATTTTGTTTTCTACTACTTTTTGCAGTAATCTTATAAAGGCATTCAATTAAATACTTTCGATAAATATTTACTTATGCCTGCTATCCGCTGAAATACCAGAGAAAATTCAGAAAAAGAAAATAGCAATGCTGCGAGTAATAAACTTACAAATTTGGATTCTGTTACTTAGAATTCTTGGTAATTCACAGGTTTAAATCAATGTTGATGGTACACGCACTCTACTGCAGTCCTACTGAATCAGAATCCTCAAGGGTGATCCAGAAATCTATATTTTTCAAAAAGTGTGCAAACAGGACTGATAACTGCTACTTGAAGCAGTGAATTCAGAAGGCATTGTAACCTGTATCTTTGATGTTAGTGAGATTGATATAAATCAGTAAATATTCTTTAAAGCACTAACAAAAGTCAATTCCATTTGTTGGTGTTAATTTTACCTATAAACAAAGGATGCTGAATAGCATATAGACACGTGAGCACATGGTAGGGACTGGGTATGGAAACGCTTTCCTTACCCAAAAGGAAAAATGTGTTTTCCAGTAATTTAAAACAAATATTTTAGTGGTCACTATGCTAATAAGAAGTAATTTTTAACTGTCCTTCCAAGTCAGCCTTACAGAGTTACTTTCCCCCTGTATTGCCAACCTACTTACTCTAACTATATGCAATTAATGTAATAAAACTTTATTAGAACACTTTAATTCTGTTTCCTTCATTATTTTTGTTTTTGTTTTTGTTTTTGTTTTGCGTTACGCAGGCCTCTCACTGTTGTGGCCTCTCCCGTTGCGGAGCACAGGCTCCGGACGTGCAGGCTCAGCAGCCATGGCTCACGGGCCCAGCCGCTCCGCGGCACGTGGGATCTTCCTGGACAGGGGCATGAACCCGTGTCCCCTGCATCGGCAGGCGGACTCTCAACCACTGCGCTACCAGGGAAGCCCCATTATTTTTTTAATTAGTGATACTGTATATTATTTATTAAATGTATCACTGACTGAACTTTTCTTTTGTTAAAGAAGACGTAACTTTTACCATTTTCCAGCTCTACATCTCTTCATTTCATCAGGATGAGACATGTTCTGCAGTAGGTCCATTGTGTAAATAAATACAAGTTTGCTCTGTAAAGGATGGAAGATTTTTCCCAGTTTAACACATTGTGGGTGCGCAATGGATTTTTGTTTAATAAATGTTCATCACAGCAACAGTTTATTAGGTAAGCTTCCTGAAGGCAGGAACCTGGCCCCTATGTTTAACCAGTGTGTGTACCTGGCAACTAACAGGTAATAAATATTTTGCTCAATAAATTAAAATAGCAAAAAGTATAAGAATTTATTATTAAATGAAGAAGATTTTAGAATTGGAATTATACTGTTAAATCATCTTTTTTTTTTTTTTTTTTTTTTTTTTTTTTTGCGGTACGTGGGCCTCTCTCTGTTGTGGCCTCTCCCATTGCGGAGCACAGGCTCCAGACACGCAGGCTCATCGGCCATGGCTCACGGGCCCAGCCACTGCACGGCACGTGGGATCTTCCCGGACCGGGGCACGAACCCACGTCCCCTGCATCGGCAGGCAGACTCTCAACCACTGCGCCACCAGGGGAGCCCCTAAATCATCTTTTAATATACTTTTAATGTTAAGCTATTCTAATTAGTATCAGTTTTCTAAAATGTTTTTTAGTTGAAATACACATATGTGCAGAAAATGCACATATCATAAGGTACAGCTCAATGAGTTTTCACCGAGTGAACACACCCATACCCCAATCAAGAAACAGAACCTTACCAGCTCTTCAGAAACCTGCCATGTGCCCACACCCAAACACCACCTCCTTTGTCCTTCCCCCAAAGTAAACACTGTTCTGATTTCTAACACCGCGGACCACTCTGTCTGATTGCGAACATAGCAGGAATGGAATTGGTATAGTATGTACTCTTTTGTGTCTGACTTCTTTGGCTCAGCTTTTTACTTGCGAGATTCATACATGTTTTATAATGATTTGTCTCTGAGGATGAGTGATAGAGTATATATGGGTGTTCCATGTAAAATTCTTTATATCTCTTTGTATATTTGAAATATTTCCTAATTTTCCAAAAGCAGTGTGGCTAGGACACAGCAAGTGTTGTCTGCATGAATGCACAATGAAGTCAGCTGGGGCTAACTTACTTTAGATCTTATACGTTTTGCTAAGTTTTAGTGATTTTCCTTTCCCCAGAGGAATGCCATTGAGGAGTTTTGAGCCGGAAAGTGACATATCTTATTTAATTTTAGGTGGAACAATGTGAATGCCTTGCAGAAAAGGGATTGGAGGACTGAAAAAGTAGAAATAGAAAAATTAGATTTTTGCAGTGGGTTCGGTAAAAGGAGATACAGAAATACATCCTTTCTGAACCTGTCTCTAGTCCTCCCAGCTAAGTCCACCAAACCTTCCAACCTATAGCCCCTGTTTTACCTCTGTTTCTGCCGAAGTTCCAGAACTGACCATATCAGAGAAAAAAATTATTTAAGTGCTGGGCAGGCATGCTTCATATGCTCATCTTCTGACACTTTCAACCCAGATTAGGTGAACAAGTATCAAATCTCAAGCTCTGAACACTCTGACAACAGTGTCCTGCAGTAAACACTTGTTGCAGACCTTAGCAGGGCTTTGATGCTTGCTTATAAGCCCTTATCTGTGAGCTAGTTTGTAGCCTCTGATAAGGTGAAGGTCCCTTTTGAGTTGCTGATTAGCATCTAGTTGATTTCCTTTTGTATCCCAGTAGTGCTTGCAGTTTTACAATACCCAGTTCTTTTTTTTTTTGCGGTACGCGGGCCTCTCACTGTTGTGGCCTCTCCCGCTGCAGAGCACAGGCCCCAGACGCGCAGGCTCAGCGGCCATGGCTCACGGGCCCAGCCGCTCCGCGGCATGTGGGATCTTCCCAGACTGGGGCACGAACCCGTGTCCCCTGTCCCCTGCATTGGCAGGCGGACTCTCAACCACTGCGCCACCAGGGAAGCCCCAGGACCTAGTTCTTTTAAGGCCCCATTCCTGAAGACTGGGTCTTTCCCAGGAACTTTAGCTCCAGGTGCTAGGGCCCTATTGACTCCTGGCAGATCTTGACAGACTGCAAAACTGCAGAGCTCTTAACAGATTTCTAATTTCTGTACTCGGGACACCTGTTGGAAAGTTAAACTTCTCCAATGTGGACACCTGAGTGCTAATCATCTATCTGCCTAAATCCCAGTCAGGGACAGTAGAGTTTGTATGATTAGAAGGCTGGCAGCCTTGGCTGAATTTGCTAAGCCCTTTCTATGTTTTAGAAATAGATTCTTGCATTTCCTGTCCCCACGGATAGTCTATTTCCAGCCCTCAACACCATCCCTGTCTTGTTAACATCCAGGCCTCCCTGATGCATCTTGAGGTAAGTTACCAGCATGTTTATTATTCTTTTCAATAGTTTGCTTGATCTCTTTGATTCACTTCGAAATATTTTTTACTCCACTCCCTCTACCTCCCTGCTATTAATCTTTTCTTCTAATAGCTTTATTGAGATATAATTCAGATTATAAGATTTACCCATTTAAATGTATAATTTCTCTCTCCCCATTATTCTTAACGAAAATGTACAAGAATTATAGAATGACCTTAATTAAATGATTGTTGGGGCTTCCCTGGTGGCGCAGTGGTTGAGAGTCCGCCTGCCGATGCAGGGGACACGGGTTCATGCCCCGGTCCGGGAGGATCCCACGTGCCGTGGAGTGGCTGGGCGCATGAGCCATAGCCGCTGAGCCTGCGCATCCGGAGCCTGTGCTCCGCAACGGGAGAGGCCACAGCAGTGAAAGGCCCGCGTACAAAAAAACAAAAACAAAAACAAAAGAAATGATTGTTGGATGAGTGTCTGGGGAAACCTCAGGTTCACACACTAAACTTAGCTTGGGACTCATTAAGTGTTTCTTTAAGATTTGATGGCTCATCAAGGACGTGGGGATAATAACACTTAATTCTTGAGAGGTTATGAAGCTTAAGTTATGGTCAGAGGAGTGCACCCACTTATAAAACCACATCTCTCCGTAGTATATGTCAGTAATTGTCCTGGAAAGGACTTAACATCCGGGTGTTAAGGCCCATTTAGGGGGCTGCAGTGACATTTTGCAACAACAGATGGTGCTGTGGTGCTATTTTCTTCCTCCCTCCCTCCCTCCTCCCTCCCTCCCTCCTTCCTTCCTTCCTCCCTTCCTCCCTCCCTCCCTCCCTCCCTCCCTCCCTCC